GACACATTTATGGCTGAACGAGGGATTTGCGACATGGGTATCACTTCATTTCACTTGTTGTACTTGTTATTTTATATGCTTTTGGACTTAAAGTAAGTATTTTAACGCCATTAGGTGAGCTATTTAGCTGCTGATAGCTTGTTCCCAGAGTGGAAAATTTGGACTAAATATCTTTATGAAATTACTGGGGGTCTTAAGCTGGATGGGCTTGAAGGATCTCACCCCATTGAGGTACTTCTACGTGGACTAAGTCTTTTATGGGTTTTATTCTAACTCTGTTGTCCAAAATTTTGCTGTTTCGTGGCATCAACCCTGGATCACCACTACACTTTGCAGGGCATCATTTATTGAAGAGTTTAGAATATATGTGTGTCTGCTATTTTATGTTTTAATATTTCTTCTTTTTGGCCAGGTGGAAATCAATCATGCTTCTGAGGTTGATGAAATATTTGATGCAATAAGTTATAGAAAAGGAGCTTCTGTTATCCGGATGCTACAAAACTATCTTGGTGCTGAATGCTTCCAGGTTGGTCCTTTGGTATGTTAGCAAATATCCTTGAAGATGAAGCAACTATCTTATTTCTGAAATTTCTACATTTATGTCATGGAAATTTCCAAAAAATCAAGGCTTCTGGGCATAGAGGATTTTAGGAGGATAGAGATCTTGAGAAAATTGTTGGATTGTGATGTGGAATACTGAACTAGCTCAACATCTAGTTCTTTGGTCCAATGTGAAGCTTAATCATAGTATTTTAGCATGAATTTGAGGTTGGGCTGATCTTGACCATTAGATCTACTGTTAGTATGGTCCAGACTGAACATAATGGCTTTGGTCTTATTTGTGTATGCCATAAGTTATACAGTTAATGAAATAGGGTAACCATTTATGTAATATCTGCTGAAATAAAGCCTGCAAAATAAGAGGAAGATGATTCTGTTCCATTACGGATGATCAAATTACATAGGTGCTTGTAGAGAACACCAATACATGAATTCCTTTGGAATTATGTTCTAGAAATCAACCTTGAATCATCATAACAGACCAGAATTAAGGGAAAGACGGTCAGCCTGGCTTGATTGACTGTCCTACTTGGTGCGGATATATATGTTCTTCATAACAGCAGAGTTATTACTATGTACTGTAGCTAATTTTGTTCAAATCAGGCTATATTGCTCATATGATAAAGGTGTTTGAAGTGTGTCTCATATTCTTTTCCTCAACTTTTGAATTTTGGTTATTGTTTGTTAAATCCATTTCTCATGAAAGTTACAGAGTTAATTGCATGTTATTTTTTCATGCCTCTAGAGGTCACTTGCTTCATACATAAAAAAGCATGCTTCCTCAAATGCAAAGACAGAAGATTTATGGGCTGCACTTCAGGAGGGATCTGGTGAACCTGTGAACAAGCTAATGAATTCATGGACACAGCAAAAGGGTTACCCGGTTATTTCTGTCAAAGTCAAGGATCAGAAATTGGAGTTTGACCAGGTTTCCATATGTTTACCTCCTTCAAAATCTTGTTTGATTATCAAGTGAAATTCTGAAAGAAAGCTCTAATGCATATATAAGCTGTTAGATAATTTATTTAGATTTTATTCCAATAAATGGCAGACACAATTCTACTCGAGTGGTTCCCAAGGTGATGGGCAATGGATTGTGCCAATAACATTATGCTCTGGCTCATATGATGTACGCAAAAGTTTCCTACTACAAAAGAAGTTCGAAACTTTTGATGTAAAGGAATTTCTGGGTTGCTCCATAGCAGGGACTGGATGCAGAGGCTCATTATGTAGTTGGATAAAAGTCAATGTGGATCAGACTGGTTTTTACAGGGTGAAATATGACGAAGAACTTTCAGCGGCACTTAGAAGTGCGATAGAAAAGAAACACTTGTCTGCAACTGACAGATTTGGTAATCATTTTTTTATGCACACACTTGCTTATCTATTTGATAGTTAAATGGTAGTATTTAGTTTTCGTCATTTTTTTTTCCCTTTCACAGGAGTTTTGGATGATTCATTTGCCCTTTCTATGGCTTGCCAGCAGTCGTTTGCTTCACTGCTTACCTTGCTGGGTGCTTACAGAGAGGAACTTGACTGTACAGTGCTGTCAAATTTGATTCCCGTAATGATAACCTCTGCTTTGTGTTTATGTTACTGTATTTGTGTCCTTGGTCTGATTTTGGTCTTCACTTTTCACAGATAAGTTATAAGCTGGCAACAATTGCCGCTGATGCTGTGCCCGAGCTACTGGATCTCATTAATCAATTATTTATTGGCCTTTTCCAGTACTCTGCAGAGTAAGCTTGTTCTGTTTTAACTACTCAAGTACCTAGGTAGATAAGCTTGTCTGATGATAATGAAGTTGGGGTGGGAGCAAAATGTTTTAACACTCCCAAACTATCCACAAAATTTTCTCCTTTCTTTTTATTTATTTTTGTGTACAGTTTATTATTTATGTTGAATTTGTTTACAGGAAGCTTGGTTGGGAGCCTAAACCCGGTGAGAGCCATTTAGATGCAATGCTGAGAGGAGACATTTTGACTGCCCTTGCTGTGTTTGGGCATGACCAGACGATAGATGAAGCAAGTAGGCGTTTTCATGCCTTCTTAGATGACAGAAATACGCCACTCCTTCCTCCTGACATAAGAAAGGTTGTCTCCATGTAAACCGTACATTCAACCTTTTAAATTCCCTCTTGATGTTCATTATTAACTATTGTTGCAGGCGGTGTTTGTGGCTGTAATGCAAAGAGTAAGCATGTCTAAAAGATCGGGCTATGAATCTCTTCTCAGAGTTTACAGAGAGACTGATCTAAGGGAGGAGAAAACCCGCATTTTAAGTAATACTGATTAATTTAGTAAAAGCATGCCGAACATCTGAGTCTGTTATGCCAGGGAGTAATGCATCTCTTTGTGCCTGTAGGATCACTAGCATCTTGTCCAGATCACAACATAATACTGGAATTTCTCAACTTCTTATTGTCTTCTGAGGTACTTGCGATGTTTTTATATATATCTTAATTGCTGGTTGAAAATTTAAATTAAGAATATCTCAAAGCTTGATGGTACTTAGTTTGATGATCCCATCTATGTAGGTCCGCAGACAGGATGCTGCCCTCGGGCTTTCTGTTAGTAGTAAAGGGCGGGAAACAGCTTGGACGTGGCTGAAGGCATCTCTCGAGCACTAGTTTTTAATGACATTAATGAATTTATTTTCCCCACTATTGTTAACATGATTTATTTCACCCTTTGGATGATCCGAAATACAGGATAACTGGGAGCACATCTCAGAGACCTGGAGTTCTGGATATCTGCTTCGCTTTGTCAGTGCAATCATTCCACCGGTTCGTTCTCTCTCTTGAAACGTTTGTTCTTGTCTTTGAGGCCTTTTGATTTGTTCTGATGCCTTTCCATTTTGTTCAATGCTTGTACCTTCATTGTACTTTTGGTGGTTTTACCTTCCTCTACAGTTGGCTTCATTCGAGAAGGTTAAGGAAGTAGATGAGTTCTTCAAAGTCCATCCCAACCCCTCCATAACGAGAACTTTGAAGCAGAGCATTGAGTGGGTACAGATCAACGCCAAGTGGGTTCAGAGTGTTGGGAGTGAGAAAAATCTTGCCGATATTGTGAAGGAGTTGGCTCACAGGAAATACTAGGCTCCATATTTAAGCTTCTTCTGTTATGGAAGGAGAAATCTGGATTTCGAAAGTTATGTAACTTAAATTTCCCAGACGAAGAATAAATGTACTGAGTATTGAACACAATGTGACAAAGATAGCAAGATGATTTATAAGTGGCAATTTAATTTTCAACTACGCTACCTTTTATTGAATGAATACGATTTGCCCATATGGAAGACAAATGGGCCACACTACATTAAATCGTGCCAATTGTTAAGTACTACAAAGGCATACCAGGACAAAAAAAAAAGAAACCATGGGTTGGATTTCAAGTGTTCTTCATGAAAACTGTTCTGATTCACATAAAGAAATTTTTCGGCGTGACCGCACTTGAAATCTATGGATTTAGATGACATTATAAGGTAAAATTGTTTGTTTTATATTTCATTTATGCCAAGATTTGAACAAGAAAGAAAGGAAGAAAACAAATAGATTTCAAATGATTCAATGCATATATTCATTTCAAATGTACTACATCTAATTATTTCAAACACATTCAATCTTAATTTGTTTTTGTTTTCTTAATAACAAATTTAGCATTTGTGTCAAATCCATCCATCCAAATGTAACCTAAGATTAAATGGGGTGAGCAAGTGTGATCTAAGATTAAGTGGGGCGAGCAAGTGTGATGTCTAGAAAATGTGTATTTTATAATACGAAAACGAAAGTTACAAAGCAAAATCTTTAGGGCAAAGAAGCCCAAAAAGGTCAAATTAGAAGGGAAATACAATTGAGAGGGGCAAACCACGCTCCCAAACAACAGAAGCCAAGAGGCCATGGCCCACATAAAGCATACAAAAAAAATACTTGAAATGAAAGGCAGGTGGGGCAAAGCAGTCGTGGGTGGGCGAGGAGGTTGCAGAGAGAGTTAGGAGGCGACGGCTCAGAGGAGAGAGAGGCAGCGTGGTTTTCTTTAAAATCAGGAAAAAAATTTAGTATTTATATTTATAAAATAATAAAATAAAAAAAAGGACCAGCTTAGCGCCTTGCGCCTTTAAAAAAAAATTAATTTTAGGTATATATATATATACATATTTAAAGAGTATAGCCGTGCGGCTATACTTCTGACATATATTCAAAAATTTTAATAGTATACCGCACGGCTATACTATTTAAATATGTTCGAAATTTAAATAATATAGCCAGGTGGCTGTACGCTTTAAATATATATGAATATTAAAAAAATATATATTTAAAGAGTATAGTCGTTCGGCTATACGTCTAAAATATATTCGAATATTTTGATAGTATAGCCGCGCGGCTATACTCCTGAATATATTTGAATATTTAAATTGGTGTCACTCGCCTTGCACTCGAACCAATTGTGACCAACTGAGACTTACCATACATTTGACAAACATGGACAAGTCCTCCAAAGTCAACAATTTGTCGCCAATTTTCAACATGGAGAGCAGTTCAACTTCGAAGTCCTCGGCACTTGTTCACATGGTGGAGATGGAGCAGTTCAAAGGCCACCCCCGCCTGCCGAAATTCGCCGTGCCGAAACGGTACGACATAACGCTCAAACCGGACCTCACCGCCTGCAGTTTCGGCGGTTCCGTCGCTGTCCACCTCGACATCGTCTCCGATACCCGGTTCATCGTCCTCAACGCCGCCGACCTCTCCGTCGATGCCGCTTCCGTGTCTTTCGCTTCCTCCAAGGTACCACTGACTGATCCCTGCTGCCATGCCATGCATGATGCATTTGCTTGCTTGCTTTGAACAATTGGACAATTGTACTCAAGAAAGAAAAAGAAAAAGTAATGAAATGATTTCTGAGAGCAGGTACTTTTCAAGCCTTGGAAAGTTGAGACATTTGAAGAAGATGAGATTTTGGTTCTGGAGTTTGGGGAGACGCTGCCGATTGGTTCGGGAGTTTTGGGTATTGGGTTTGAAGGAATTTTGAATGACAAGATGAAGGGATTCTACAGAAGGTGTGTTCTTTGAATTCTGGGTTCCTTACAACTTACACAGTCAATATTAATTACACTTCAATGGCTAAACTTTGGTTCGTTCATTATGTGCAGTACATATGAGCATAACGGTGAGAAGAAAAATATGGCAGTTACGCAGTTTGCACCGGTTGATGCCAGGCGGTGCTTTCCCTGCTGGGATGAACCTGCTTGGAAGGTTGCTCTGTCTAACAAGCTCAGTTCAATTAAATATTGATTTGTATTTGTATCTTGTGATTTTGTTGAAAGCGATTCTGGATGCTTCACATTGTTCTATTTGCATCTTTGAGTCTCCTCGGAAGAAAGAGATACGTTGTTTATGATGTTAGTTTACTATGGATGAGAAATCAATCTTCCGGTTGTGGTTAAATTGTTGAACTTCTAGAGTTTGAATTGACCCCATTTATCCTTATCGGAACTTTGATTGATTGGCAGGCTACATTCAAGATTAGATTGGATGATGTTCCATCTGAATTAGTAGCTCTTTCCAACATGCCGATTGTAGAAGAAAAAGTGGATGGACATCTGAAGACAGTTTCATTTCAAGAATCACCAATCATGTCTACATATTTGGCGGCAGTTGTTGTTGGGTTGTTTGATTATGTTGAAGATCATACATCTGATGGTAAACTCATACACATTGTCCTTTGTTCTGTGTGTATGCTTGTACAACCTTTCTTCATGGTGTCACATTTCATCTCGCCACAGGGGTCAAAGTTCGGGTATATTGTCAAGTTGGTAAGGCAAACCAAGGGAAGTTTGCTTTGGACGTTGCTGTCAAGACTCTTGAATTTTACAAAGAGTATGTTTTTTGGATCGCAAAACTACAAAAAATTACTAATCATTCACATTCAAATTCTAAATTACACTTGATGCATGTTGTGGATTATTAGTTCCTCTAGTTTTTTTTTTCCCTTCCCTGCTAATTCTGCATTATTATATTTGGCATTCAAAATGGAATCATTGACGAAATGTGACAGTTACTTTGCTGTGCCATACTCTCTGCCCAAATTGGATATGGTTGCAATCCCTGATTTTCCTGGCGCCATGGAGAATTATGGTTTAGTTACATACCAAGAAACCGCTTTGCTCTTTGACGAACAGCACTCTGCAGCTGCGAACAAGCAATGGGTAACATACACATCTTGAATATAACTCTAGCTTTCAGAATTTAGCTTGGTTCATATGATATGTAGCTGTTGTTTTTGAACCATAAAGAATTGTTTTTCATTTGGCTTTTCTGAAAGGTTGCAACTGCCGTGGCACATGAATTGGCACACCAGTGGTTTGGCAATCTTGTAACGATGGAATGGTGGACGCATTTATGGCTGAACGAGGGATTTGCGACATGGGTATCACTTCATTTCACTTGTTGTACTTGTTATTTTATATGCTTTTGGACTTAAAGTAAGTATTTTAACGCCATTAGGTGAGCTATTTAGCTACTGATAGCTTGTTCCCAGAGTGGAAAATGTGGACTAAATTTCTTGATGGAATTACTCGGGGTCTTAAGCTGGATGGGCTTGAAGGATCTCACCCCATTGAGGTACTTCTACGCGGAATCAGTCTTTCATGGGTTTTATTTTAATTCTGTTGTCCAAACTTTTGCTGTTTTGCGGCATCGAACCTGGATCACTTGCATGACAGGCTTCACATAGTAATATTCACCACTGTACTTTTCAAGGCATCATTTATTGAAGGGCATTAGTTTATATGTGTTTATGGTATATTATGTTTTAATCTTTCTTCTTTTTGGCCAGGTGGAGATCAATCATGCTGCTGAGGTTGTTGAAATATTTGATGCAATAAGTTATAGAAAAGGAGCTTCTGTTATCCGGATGCTGCAAAACTATCTTGGTGCTGAATGCTTCCAGGTTAGTCCTTTGGTTTGTTAGCATGTATCCTTGAAGATTGAGGCAACTATCTTATTTTTAAAAAAAATTATATTTACATCATGGAAATTTCCAAAAAATCAAGGCTTCTGGGCATGCAGGATTTTTAGAGGATAGAGATCTTGAGGAGATTGTTGGATTGTGATGTGAAATACTGAACTAGCTCAATATCTAGTCTTTTGGTCCAATTGTGCGGAATTTAATCAGTTAATGAAATAGGGTAACCATGAATTTGAGGTTGGGCTGATCTTGACCCTTAAATGGTTAGCATAGTCCAGATTGAGCTATGGTCTTATTTGTGTATGCCTTAAGTTATACAGTTAATGAAATAGGGTAACCATTTATTATATTACATAGGTGATTGCAGAGAACACCAATACATGAATTCATTTAGTATTATGCTCTAGAAATCAACCTTGAATCATGATAACAGACCAGAATTAGGACCAAGACAGTCAGTTGCTTCATACATAAAAAAGTTAGAGTTAATTCCATTTCTCCTGAAAGTTAGAGAGTTAATTGCATTTGTTTTTTTTTTTTTTCATGCCTCCAGAGGTCACTTGCTGCATACATAAAAAAGCATGCTTCCTCAAATGCAAAGACAGAAGATTTATGGGCTGCCCTTCAGGAGGGATCTGGTGAACCTGTGAACAAGCTAATGAATTCATGGACACAGCAAAAGGGCTACCCGGTTATCTCTGTCAAAGTCAAAGATCAGAAATTGGAGTTTGAGCAGGTTTCCTCATGTTTGCCTCCTTCAATCTTGTTTGATTATCAAGTGAAATTCTGAAAGAAATCTCTAATGCATATATACACTGTTAGATCATTTATTTAGGTTTTAATCCATGGTATAAGGGAAGATCTAATAAGTAAATTAATAAATGGCAGACACAATTCTACTCGAGTGGTTCCCAAGGTGATGGGCAGTGGATTGTGCCGATAACATTATGCTGTGGCTCATATGACGTACGTAAGAGTTTCCTACTACAAAAGAAGTTTGAAAGTTTTGACGTAAAGGAATTTCTAGGTTGCTCCATAGCAGAGACTGCATGTAGAGGCTCATTATGCAGTTGGATAAAAATCAATGTGGATCAGATTGGTTTTTACAGGGTGAAATATGAGCAGGAACTTTCAGCTGCACTTAGAAATGCTATAGAAAAGAAACACTTGTCTGCAACTGACAGATTTGGTAATCATTTTTTTATGCACACTTGCTTATCTCTTTGTTAGTGAAAATGGTAGTATTTAGTTTTCATCTTTTTTTCCCCTTTGACAGGAATTTTGGATGATTCATTTGCTCTTTCTATGGCTCGCCAGCAGTCATTTGCTTCACTGCTTACCTTGCTGGGTGCTTACAGAGAGGAACTTGACTGTACAGTGCTGTCAAATTTGATTGCCGTAATGATCAACTCTGCTTTGTGTTTGTGTTACTGTATTTGTGGCCGTGGTCTGATTTTGGTCTTCACGTTTCACAGATAAGTTATAAGCTGGCAACAATTGCCGCTGATGCGGTGCCTGAGCTACTGGATCTCATTAATCAATTCTTTATTGGCCTTTTCCAGTGCTCTGCAGAGTAAGTTTTTTCTTTTTCAACTACCCAAGTACCTAGGTAGATAAGCTTTTCTGATGACAAAGCAGCTAGGACTGGAACAAAATGTTTAACACACCCTAACTATCCACAAGATTTGCTTCTTTCTTTTTATTTATTTTTGTTAACAGTTTATTATCTGTGTTTGAATTTGTTTACAGGAAGCTTGGTTGGGAGCCTAAACCTGGTGAGAGCCAATTAGATGCAATGTTGAGAGGAGACATTTTGACTGCCCTTGCTGTGTTTGGGCATGGCCTGACGATAGATGAAGCAAGTAGGCGTTTTCATGCCTTCTTACATGACAGAAATACACCACTCCTTCCTCCTGACATAAGAAAGGTTGTCTCCATGTAAACCATACATTCAACTTTTTAAATTCCCTCTTGATGTTCATTATTAACTATTGATGCAGGCAGTGTATGTGGCTGTAATGCAAAGAGTAAGCATGTCTAACAGATCGGGCTATGAATCTCTTCTTAGAGTTTACAGAGAGACTGATCTAAGGGAGGAGAAAACCCGCATTTTAAGTAAGACTGATTAATTTGTAGGACCATTAGCATCTTGTCGAACATCTGAGTTTGTTATGCTGTGGAATTAATATATCTCTTTTTGCCTGTAGGATCAGTAGCATCTTGTCCAGATCCCAACATAATACTGGAAGTTCTCAACTTTTTATTGTCTTCTGAGGTATTTTCGATGTTATTGTATATCTCTTAATTGGTGGTTGAAATTTTTAATTCAGTAAACCGTTAGAGTATCTCAAAGCTTGATGATACTGGGTTTAATCCTATCTATATAGGTCCGTAGTCAGGATGCTGTCGTTGGACTTTCTGTTAGCAGTAAAGGGCAGGAAACAGCTTGGACATGGCTGAAGGCACTTCTCTGAAGCACTAGTTTTTAATTAGCATACTATGAGCCGTACCCACATTCATGGATTTTTCACCCACTTTGTTAATATGATTCATTTTGCCTTTTGGATGATCCGAAATACAGGATAACTGGGAGCACATCTCAAAGACCTGGGGTTCAGGATATCTGATTCGCTCCTTTTTAAGTGCAATTGTTTCACCGGTTCTCTCTCTCTCTCTCTCTCTCTCTAAACTTTTGTTCCTGTCTTTGAGGCCTTTTGTTCTAATGCCTTTTCCATTTCCTTCTCTTCTTGTGCCCTCATTGTCCTTTCGTGGTTACCTTCCTCTGCAGTTGGCTTCATTTGAGAAGGTTAATGAAGTAGATGAGTTCTTCAAATCCCATCCCAACCCGTCGATAATGAGGACCTTGAAGCAGAGTATTGAACAGGTACAGATTAATGCCAAATGGGTTCAGAGTGTTCAGAGTGAGAAACATCTTGCTGATGTTGTGACGGAGTTGGCACACAGGAAATACTAGGCTCCATGTTTAGCTTGTTCTGTTATGAAAGGCCAAATGGGTTCAGAGTATTCATTTTCTCATCCATGCAATTTGATAAAAGGCCAACGTTGAACACAATGTGACAAAGATATCAGGATGATTTGTAAGTAGCAATCTAATTTCCAACTATGCTATCTTTTATAGAATGAATGCGATTTGTCGACGTGGACAGCAAATGGGCAACATTATATTAGATCATAGTACCAATTGTTCTACAAAGGCCCTCCATGAAAAAGGGAACCATTTTCAAATGTTTTTAACTGAAACTGTTCGTATTTATGAGAAATTTTTCAGTGTGCCCTAAATAGTAATATATGGGCTTAGATATTTAACCGGAAACATATAACCTAATTGTGGAATGAGTTGTTGAGTGAAACATTTGGAAATTAAGCCTAGCTAGTTAATCCTCAGCTGACAAGGTTTAAGGTTGTTAATGTTGACAATGGTGACAAGGTTTAGAGGAGATGGGGATTTTCGCAAGGTGCTGGTGGTGCCGGCTGGGAGTTTACTGGTGGTTGGCTTCTAGGAGTTCTTGGATCGAATGGATTTGGTGCGTTCTAGGTTCCTTGGTGTTGGGTTCGATTTCGACGGATAGGGTTGTTGGTTGCGATCTCTGTTCCCATCTCTCTGGGTTCTTTTGTGGTGGGGATCTAGGATCCGGGTGGTGATAGAGCCTTTACTGTTGTTGAGCAATATTTCGCCAAGTTTGTTAAAAAGGTGACGGAGGCCAACCTCGAGGGGTCTCCCAATTCTCCCTAATGCGTTTGCTGAAACGTTTGGGCTTGGCACCTGATAAACGTTCCTATTATGATGCTCTTATGTTGGAAGTTCGTTAGGCTAAGAGGCCAATCTTGATCCCCCATGCCCTGTCGGGTAGGGCCTAGGTTAAGATTCATGGAGTTGGTATTGGTACTTATGCTGGCTATGTTCTGACACTCACTACATGTTGTTCTATACATCGAACTATGCGTGCATAGGAGTTTTTCTTTGACAGTATTACGTTGTGGCGGGTTGTTCTTCGCAAGGCTTGGAGTTGTGCTTTGGTATTGGTACTTCTGCCAACTATGTTTTGACGCTCACAACACGTTCTATACATTGAATTATGCGTGCATAGGAGTTTTTCTTTGATAGTATTACGTTGTAGCGAGTTGTTCTTTGCGGGGCTTGGAGTTGTGCTTTGTTTCGTATGTATTATTTCGAGTTCTTTGTAGCGGTCCAAAGTGGCCTGTGTCGAACTCTCTTGTTAGTCCATGGCATATGTGGTACTCTTTCCTACCCCGGGGTTTGTCCCATGTGGTTTTCCTAGGAAGATTTTAACAAGGCCACTGTATTTGTGCTGGTCTTTGTATGCTTTCTTGGCTTATGAATGAAATCTTATTCTTAAAATAAATAAATAAAGGTTTAGAGGAGCCAAGATGGCATGTTTTGGTCAGAAAGGGAAAGAGTTTCGTTAAGGATCTTTGGTTGCTTCGACCAAGACATCGTACTTGTATTACTTTGCAAACAAAAGAGAGTAAGAAAGTGATAATTCTGAAGTGATTGACTAATCTAAAATACCAAAAAAGTGAGATACACATGCTGAGAAATTTCATGAGCTCATCAATTTATCTACAAAACTTGTACATTTTTTCTTTTTGGGTCTGCTTACTTACAAAGTTACATTCCCTTAAAAGTGTTCTCTTAAATAGTCTACATGTTTGTGATGTTAGAGAGTGGTTGATATGTGTTCCTTCTAACTCGCGGCAGAATGTGACTCTGGTTCACCCCCCTCCTGCAAAAAACAAACAAACAAACAAAGAACACCATTTTTAAGCTTTCAGGGTTGGTTTTGGGTTTGCTATAAATGAATATAAAAAAAATCGAATTTGTTGGCCATATAACTTACTAGCTGCACTGAAACTTGGCTGTGCTGAGATGAAGGGCTATCACCAGCCATTAGTGTATGGTGCATTGTGTTTTCAGCAATCCCTCTCAATCTGTTAAGTTCCGGCAGGATAACCTTGCCAAGGTCTGGTCTGTCTTTTCGCCTTAACTCCGAACACTGGAGAGCAAGTTTGGCAAACTTCAAAGCTTCTTCAACAGGCCAATCTGGCACAGATGGATCCAGCATGTCCTTGAAAGTCCCCTTCTCGATAGCCCTTTCGACATGATGAGTCAATCCCATTGCTGGCTTAGCTGTGATCATTTGTAGAAACATTATCCCAAGTGAGTAAACATCAGACTTCACACCAAGCATGCCTGTTTGCTGATACTCAGGATCTATGTAGCAGAACGTGCCGGCTGTGGATGTCATTCGATATTGTGTCACATTGTCAGCAATAGATGGGGGCACAAGCCTGGCCAACCCAACATCACTGATCTTGCTCACAAAGTTCCTGTCAATCAAGATGTTGCCAGGTTTTAAGTCACGGTGCACAAGTGGCTCTGGTTTAGCCTGGTGGAGGAAAAGCAAGCCTGTGCCAATTTCAGCTGCAATCCTAAACCTAAGTTGCCAAGAGAGAGGTGGAGAGTTTCCTCTACGAAGGAGACGATCTTCCAAGCTCCCGTTAGCCATGTACTCATAAACTAGGCATCCATACTCAGGACAGGCTCCCAGGAGGAGAACCATGTTCGGATGCCGTATAGAGCTCAGTACTTCAACCTGTTCATGGTCATTAGCAAGTCAACAAAAGAAACAACAATGTTCCACAGCTGAACAAGGTATAGAAATATGTATTTATCATTAAGTATTGGTGCATATATGTGGGGAAAATCTCTCTTGTTTAGACAGTCTGGCAAGCCAAGATCCTTTTGAACGAATAGTCCAAATTCATAGCCTGGTAACATAAGTACCTCTTGGTTAAACTGTGATCTTCCTTGAGCAGCATCAGGGCGTAGAACTTTAATTGCAACAGGTGTATGGTCTAGATAACACCTATATACAGGACCATAACCCCCTTCTCCAATCTTCCGAGATTCTGCAAAGAACTCTGTGGCAGCCTCAATCTCATCAATTGTGTACTTCCTATACCTGACATCCGAATGTTGCAGAGCATTAAGTGCCTTTCTCTTCTCTTCTGATTCTTTGAGCGCTTTCATTTCTGCATTGATTCTTTTTTGTGCTTCCAGTTCTGCAATCCTCTTAGCTGCTTCAGCAGCCTCAATGGCTGCTCTGGACTTGGCTCTCTCTTTTTCTACAATAGCCATTGCAGCTTCCTCAGCTAGATGCGCCTCTTCCAATCTTCTTTCTTCTTCTAATTTCCAGCGCTGGAGTTCTACTGCCTGTAGAATAGATATCTTATAAGAGCTTCCTGCGAAAATCATCAGAGGTGCAGTGCTGATAAGATTTATGGTACCTTTTGCTTTGCCGTGAGTGCCTCTTTACAGGCGGAGCTATACATTTCCATAGTTTGCTTTAGCTCCAGCTTTAGCCTCCTCATTTCAGCCTCCACATCTTCCTGTAATTTTGAGTTACACAACCATCTCTATTGTAACAAAAAATTTGGATGCCACTGAGTAATGGGACCTACCAACTACAATCTGTAAATGCAAGTAAAACTTCTCCATACAAAAACTAGTTATAGGATGATGGTCAGGAGCCTCATTGGTCCAATCACACATAAATCAATATGTTTCAAGTTTTGACACACCTCACCTAAACTTAAGTATATTCAAGCATAAATAATGTATGAGAAAGAAGTACACATTTATCAAATTAAATGACTAGATAAAAAGTCATATGCTTACCATCGGCTGTGATGCAGAGGATAATCGATCGCTATCCTGAGAGACAGAAGAGAATGTAGGTGGAGAGGAGCTGACATCCACGGATCTCCTTCCAAAGTACTGCATAGACTCAAAGCTGTGGTTCAAGTCTATTTCTGTGCTGTTTGACATTCGTGGCGGGGTGATTCTTCCTGAATCTATGTTGTCATAGAATGCAGGGAATATACGGTCAATGCTTGGCCTTCCAGAGCTAACATAAGATATGTCTGTGTCTGGCATAGGGAGATCTGCATAGGACTTCCCATTTGGCCCTTTCCTAGTGAATGGAGACCTGATTTCCATAATGACTATATGTTAGTTCTCACAATAATGTAGGTAAAACCAGCTTTATGTTTTATAACACCTTTTTGTCTATCTTCATTGAAAGGGAAACTGAGTGCCACTGACCTGAAGTTGTCCATTTCATCATGGGATTTACGGTGTGGTTCTGGTGGCTTTTCATGTCCTGGTAGAGGATCCAACAATTAAGTTTTACTGAGAAATGTTAGAGCAAAAAGTTAGTGGGACAGTATTATGCTTAAGGTGCAACAAACTAACCTTTCATGCCAGACGGAGGGAAGACATAAGGCTCTGACTTTGGGCTTGGGGTATGGCTACGAACTGGGGCTCGTATGGGTGAGATGGATGGGGCAGGACGTGAGGCAGACCTCCTTGATTGAAGTTTTCCCTTGGATACAACATATACATTACAAAAATCTGGTGCCCCCTTTGATACGTTTCCTGGAACATCTGAGATTTTGAATCTACAAAAGGTTTTCGAAGATAAGAAAATGTTCTGTGGACATTCGAGGCCCTTTTATCACATATCCCATTCAACACGCTTGCAACCATCATAACATCCTATAGAATTGTAGAGCCTTCTTTCCAGAATTTGATATTGGTTTAATCATTTTTTTTTACTTAGGCTTCAGCAGCTGAGTTAAAATGGTATATACCTGAGAAAGCCAGTTTTTGCTGAGGCACCAACAACCAAATGCTCGATTGCAGATTGAGTGACGTACTCGTTCAATGCTTTTGCGATATCAGAGTCTTCTAGTACAATGTCTTTGCATTGTATCTGATTTCAAAAATAAAAATAATAATGTACAAAAAAAACAAGGAAAAAGTCAATGCTCAAAAGGCCTCAACTAATATGGAGGTTCAGGATCAATAATGCTGGTAGGATTTTGTGTTGCTTACTAACTGAAAAGACAAGCGAACACAATTTCATCACACTCACATTTTTACGTGTACAGAAAACACGAAAAGGAAGGAACAATTCCTTGGTTTGGGGATCAGGGTCTTTGCATACCAAATGTTGGTCCCAATTTGGGTTACTTCCTGCACCCAAAAAGTATGTTGTTATTTTCTGGTATGCAGAAATTAAGGAACAGAAGAAGAAGAAGAACAACAAAAGCATGAAGGATGATATATATATATATATATATATACACATAGATACACAGATAATGCATACTTGGGGTGGAAAGAGAAGGTGATTGGGAAAACACAGGAGGTTTGATCTTGACATGGATGAGAAGGACTGTTTGGCCTTGTTTGACAAGACTGTCTATACACCATTTGAGTGCACTCTGGCTGTTTTTGTCCTTGTCTATGGCCAGTGCCACAATCCCATTCCCTCCTTCCTTCTTGTCAACATGATTGTGAGGCAGCCACATTTCTCTCTCTCTCTCTCTCTCTCTCTCTCTCCCTCTTTTCTTTTCCTGTGTTGTTTCTTTTACTCAAACAAAACCAGAACTAGAACAAAAATCTAATGGCAAATATATATCAATCAAACCTTAAGATCACAAAATTAATAATGGGTTGTTTTCACTTTGTCTGAATTCCTTTGTCTCTCTTCTGCAGCAGGGTCCAAGAAGAGACAAAGAAGGATTGTGTTCCAGGTATTTGTGCTGTTGTTTGACCTTAATGTTTCTTATTTTGTTGTTGTTTTCAGCTAGCAGAAACAAGAAATCACTTTTGGCAATGACCAACTAATTTTGATTATTTTCACTGGTTAATCCATAAATAGCTCTGTCCAGATTGGGTAATTAATATGAGAGGACCCTCCATCATTAGCGGATTCTTTTTTGTGTTTGACCTCTCCCTAAAGCTAATGACTATATATTGTCTCTCTTAGTCAACCCCTCCTCTCCTTCAAATTATCACCATCTCAGCACTCAGCACAGGGACAAGATTTGAGAAAGTCTTGAGACCTTACTCATATTTGGAAAATGTCAAAATAGTTATGTTTATCATTCTTAAAAACAAATTGTAATCTTTTTTTATATGAGCGATATTGGGAGGGGGGAATCGAGCCTACCTAGGGTGCAGAGGTAAATGATATTAACCACTTGAGCTACAAACAAATTGTAATCTACTGTCACTCACCAATCTGTTCCACCCATCTACTCTTCCACTCCTAATTTTTCTTCTTATTTTCTAATTTCAGTAATTTTATAAAAGGGTCCAATTGCATTTTCCTTTTTTTCCTAAAAAATAAAATGAGGGGTTGGTGGCAATGGGTGCATTTTCATCAAGTAACAGTTTTACTAAATCTTTGCTGATAAGGATATCTTATCAACATTTTACAATAACTTCAGCATAGCCAAATTTCAATATTCAATTACTTACACTCACACCTCTCACAATTCAATAAACTTTTTCTTAAAATGACTTTTCTACACAAGTCGGATGAAGATCATAATCACACACACCACAAGAGAATGCCCAGAACCTCCCCTGCTTCTTGCAGTAATCACATACATATGCTTTGGCCATGTCCAACTTCAGCAAATGGTCATGCTTTATATCCTTCACTTGAGGAGGCAATGCCTCTCCTTCTTTTCTTAAAGCTGCCTCCAGCTCTTTGATCCTGAACTCTGTAAATGGGAAGGCCTTGGCACCATACAAGGAGATCATGGCCTTCCCATTTGTGCTAATAGCCTTCCCATCTGGTCCAATCAGAACCAAAGCTGGAATCACTTTAATGTCGAAAATTCTGCAAAGGTCTTGTCTTGTTTTATCCTGGTATGGGATGGCAAGCCATGGCATGCTGCTTATGTTGAGCTCGAACTCTTTGAGGTCTCGGTCTGTGGAGACTAGAATGATTTCGAAGTCTTGATCACCGGAGGCCATGTGCTCGTTGTATGCTTCTATAAGTTTGGAAGTGAAGGCACGGCAAGGAGGGCTCCAATGTGCACCGAAGTAAAGGCCTATGGTCTTACCAAAAAGTTTGGACACTGATATCTGCAGATGAGCAATCATATATGTCAGTTGTCGACAAAGTAAGCCACAAAAAATTTAAGAATTTAGAGTAGTAAAAAAAACTACCTCTCTACCATCACTAGACATGACATAGTTTCGTCCTTGATGAGCCAAAAGCTCTTCTAGTTTTCCCCCTTCGCGCTTCGCTTCGTCAGCAGCCTTCAGTTCTTCTCTTCTATTCTTAGTGAATGGAAATGCCTCAGCTCCATAGTCTTCAATCAGTCCAACCAAGTCTTCCTCAACTGATATTCCATCTGAACTTAATGAAATGAGTGATGGGATGCGATCGATGTGGTACAGGTCACTCAATCGTTTATGCAGGTTTGCATCAAATGGGACTGTCAGCCATGGCATGCACTTGAAGTGTTCATTGAATTTTTCCTCATCGCGGTCGAAGGAGACAAAGATAATCTCAAACTCTTTACCTTCCATTTTAAGCACATCATAAAGCCTCACCAGCTGAGGGGTAAGAGCCTTGCAAGGCCTACACCAATTTGCTGAGAAGAAGAGGCACACTGTCTTCCCATTACATGATGACAAGGGGACCTAACCTCATAATCAAAAAACAAGATTACGCTTTACTTATCATAACATAGATTAGAAATTCACCTCTGAAATTGAAGAGACATCCTTTTCTAGCCAAAAAAGGGGTTTCTATAGACCAACTTAAAACTCATGCTCCCATATTTTCAGGTGGTTGGGGCACCAGAACGCATATAGTTCCATGAAACTAAAATCTTTTCGAAACCCAGCAACCGAAGAAAAACAAAAATATTGATTGAAACGAGAGGAGGAAGAAGGAGAAGCTTTTGAAGACTACCTTTCTGTCACCAGATAGAAGGAACTCAACTCCTTCAGATTCAAGGACGGTTGCTATATTGCTGCTAGGCACTGCCATCAGAACTACAAGCAAAGTACGGCCTCCACCCCTCTTTTATATTTCCTAAACACAATGATCAACAAGGAAACAGAAAGAAAGAGTGACATTCACAAAAGTACCTACACTTTGCTGCAAAAGAATATTTGATTTATATTATTCATGCCATCAAAGCTACAAACTTTGGGAGGTGTAGATGCTTCATATATATATTCTTCTACAAGGGAAATCTAAAACATTTTCAACAATCGTATCAATTCGCAGTCGATTATTCTCCCAAAATATTCCATAAAATAAAGGAAAAGATATGAGGTACCTTTTAAACCGTCTATATACACATGTTAATGTCAACCTTGGCTTTGCAGCCATGGCGCTACCTTGTTGGCAATATTATTACTCTCTTTTATAATCCTCCATTTAATTATGTTTGATTTGTTTGGCAACTCATTTGGACATGTAGGCAAAGTAAGGAATCATCCAATAAGAATCAGGGCATGCTCTTTCTTCCAACTCAAAGTTGACTAACTGGAAATGATCAATATGTGATTTCCCTTTTGGACAAATCAGAAAACTTATTAGTTAATATTTGCTTCTTCACTCCATAAACTTAGTATTGTAACAAGAGCTATGCTGAGAGTCATCCACGCATGTGTAGGCAGTTGTGTCCACGGTTGATGTGTGTGTGTGACAGCCACCTATACATACACATGTGGACGACTGACTTTAGCATTTTCGATGGTCATATTTTAAACATGTAATCGCAATTACTCCGATTACATTGACCATCGTGGATTGTTAAAGAGCAAAAACAAAAGATTACACAAACTCCTCAGAAAGTTGAAATCGATCAGAGTATAGAAAAGGAGTACCTGAGACTTCGGTTCAGGATTGGATAATCTTCTTGAGAGAGAGACAGAGGGAGATTATATATATTCCCTGTTTCTGGCTAGAACCCTTTGCTTGCTCGTGCATGAGAATGGTCACAAAAGAATATTTAAGCAAATGGACACAACCCACAGGGTGAGAGCTGGAAAAGGATCACAAATTCCAAAGAATAAAAAGAGAATACAAGCGCAGGGAACAAACTTGAGGATTGATAGAGTGGGAAAGGTATATCCCACTTTGCAGATATTAGATTCTAACTTTTAGCCCTCTTCCCATGTTCTTACACAAGGTTGGAATATTTTATTTTATTTAAATATAAAATTTGACCGAGGAATTAAAAAAATATATTTAAAAAATGATATAAGTCGCATTCTAGCATATTTGATAAAATAGATAAATAAAATTATACTCCTCGTCCATTTGAATCGGAATAGATAAGGTGGGCGGATATCAAGGCCTGATTCGACCAACGGCATGACAATTACACGGAACTCATCAATAGGGAATGGAACCTCTTGCGGGCCAGACGGGTACGGTTGATATTGAAGGTTGTATGTACAACTGTGCGGGCGAGCGTCAGTCATTGATAAACGTAAAAATCCAAATCACATCAATTATTGGAAATCGCCCACTCGCGCATAGACGACTGCCTTAGCATTACACATGCAACAAATTAACAAAATTCCTTATTATACATCATCTAATGCCAAAATCAGATGTTACCATTGAATATAAGCTTAGTTCTTACAGTTTAAGGTGAGAACATTAATCTTGAAATAACTAGTCACTAATCACTACAACACAAATCAATGATACAGTCGATGGATTACAAGGCAGCAGTACAGTGGTCAATGCTGATGGACTAATTACTGGTCTAATCAAAATCGTTTAGATTGGCATTTCGAATCATGGTGAAGGAACTTCATGATTTACACAAAAATGTGTCATTTTGAAATGGTTCACTTTTTCCTTCTTGAAGAAGCTCTAGTAAACATTTCTCTGATGTTATGTGATTCTGTCTCCACTTTGGGCTTCTTAGCTTGCCTTCCAGCTCTGGTAGTCTTATTGTCACTCTTACTTTTTTCCTGACAAATTACAACACGTGTACAAAAAGACCCATCAGAATGAACCAAAATTGTCTGGTCATGAGATATGGAAAGCATTTATCAACTCTAACTATTTAGTTTTGAAACACTCAGGAAAACATTTGTGTGCGGGAATATTTAGTTCCCGGGAAATAGTCCAAGCTCCACAACTGTACCAAACAGTTTTTTATTTATTCCAATTTATAGGGAGAAGTGGCCCTATGTCTGGGAGGCATACCTGTGAGCCATTGCTTTCTGTGGCAGTCGGAAGAATTTCGATATCTGACATTTTTCTTGTTGCCTCTGTTAAGTCTATCCTGAAAACACAATCAGTATCCCAGACTTAGTTAATGCATTTCAAAATTGAAACATTCCAAGTTCTAACAATAGATGTTTGCATTAGTTCCCAAATTTCTACAGACAAGACTTATGACTTGTTATGAACCATTTTTTGAGGCAATACCTCAAACAGTCACTCAAAAGCTTCAGCCAGGGCTCATCCAAGTATTCCCCTAATATTGAAACTGCATCAATTACTGCACCAGTAACAGAGGTGAATTAATGAATGGAAAAACAGACATCCCATGCAAAATGGAACGATTCACATACTTATGAACTAGTTGTTTATGGCATAGCAGGATTTAGGGAGTGCTACAAGTATAATAAATACGTATAAGCTGTTATACAGCCGATAACAGTCTTGACTACATGCCAGTTTTTTACTACCAAAGTAAGTTTACTTCTCTCACTTCAACACTGAACAGATGAAATTCCAATAGACACTAGAGAGAGGGGAGAGAAACAGAAGAGTCATAAAATAAATGGTTTTCTCACTAAAAGTGTACATCTATCTTTCTCTTCCCTTGCAGCATAATTATTGTCCAAGGTGGATAGTGTCTGTTTTAGCTGACATACCTGCCATCACAGGGCACAAAGATTATAAAAACTTACCAAAAAAAACTTGCAGCATTAAGTAGCTAAAATATTGTTCGAAAATTTTCATATGTACGTGGATATATTCACATATCTCAACATTAAAAATGGAAGAACCCAGGAAAAAAGACAAAAAGATTGATAGACAAGCACAAGTCAAACTTGCTTGAAACCTAGAACTTACCCTCCACCATACTATTATGGGGGAGGAGGTTCACTAGACCCAAGGCCGTGGATCAGAGAGAAAAATAAAGCAATTAGTGGTCAATCATATGTAGTTATATGGCATGCGTGGTGCAGGGAGCTAATTCTTCACAAAAAACACTGCTCAATAATCATCAAACACCAAAATTAAGTGATATCAGATGTGGACAAACCTTATGGTACATCCAAGCTAGAACTTTGGAATCATCAAGCCTGAAAAATTTTGAGGATCCAATTTCTGCAGACAGTATGAGACGAAACAATATTTACTTGGAAATATAACAAAGTCCAATATAATTGTTGACACTAATATTGTAAAAGTTCAAATTATTTGAATTGGCAACATGAATTAAACAAGCATATTGGAGTTCAGACATACATGGTCCCTTAAGGACCTCAAAAAAGATAATAATTAACCACTAGATTCTAGACAAAGCTGTCAATTTCCATTCCAGTAATAGAGATTATGTTTCAGGATTCATATCTCTCGATCATTAGAAAGTTTCTGAAGGCAAGGGTGAAAGTGTATCCAAATCCCTTGATTGTGTGACATTAGTATCGACTCACAATCAACGCCAAATTAGAATTCTCTAGTTCTCTAGTTTTCTTCACCACCAATGCAAGATGTGAACATGATACAGTACAAGTTAATTGGTTGGTTCGCAAACTTCTACCTAAAATTTGAATTACTAGTGCATAGGTAGTGTGCCACCTTTGATTTCACTAACTACTTGCATACAATTCTCTGCAATGGGCAATAGTTTCTGATATCCGGGATAGCCTTCAACAAAGATTATCTCATCTACAAGCCTGAACTTCCCCGGATCATCCCCCTTCTGCATTTTTAACAAGGAATGTAGTTACCACTAAGATTAAAAAAGGACAAACAAAAAGTCAATGAAAAGTGGGATTAAGCACCATAAAAGTACCTTCATTCTAGCTTCTTCAAAAATGGGCAACAAAATGAAAACAGGATCAACTGGAGTGGTAGTGTATAATCCACCATCTAAATATGGAATTGCAACATAAGTTAGGCAAACAAAATTTAAGAAAAAAATGAAATAAAATGAAGCAGGGTACCACCTTCAGCAACATAGTCACCCAGAAACCAAGAAGTGTAGGATTGCTTGAACCAATTAAGCTCCTGAAGAACTCCATTAACTAAAAGACAGCAGATTGAGTTCCCTGTACAAAGAAAGCAAGTGAATAACAGTGAAAGATGCCCTAATCTCAAATTCTCATAAATCTCAAGAAATCAAATACATGCATTGAGGAATACCGGACTTGGGATGCCGAAGCGAAAGCAATTGTCCGACGTCGTTTCCAGTTTCAGCAGTATCTGTAGATTTTTCGTTTAGGGTTTAGAGATGGAGAGAATAAAGGATTAATTGAAAATGAGGAACGAGAAATCGGAACAGAAATTTACCTGCTGCGATGAGAAGACGGATTTCATCGAAGCCTTCCCACCAAGCCATTGAAATGAAACTTTCGTTCCTTAAACCCTAGCAGTCACCAAAGGCGTAGTGAAGCGAAACCGAAAAAGAAACTGCGCGCGCGCCGTGCAGAGAGATGGAGGGAGGGGATATGATAGGTCCACCGGTGGGTCATTAAACCCGTTGTTTTTTACTTTTTAGGAAATGAAAATATAAATAATTTTAAAAAAGTGGCTTTGTCGTATGGGCTCCATATGTCCCAATTGATTGAATATCAAACTTATCCAAAGAAAAAGGTCTTCTCAAAAGAAAAAAAAAATTCAAATTCAAATTGCTTAACCCAAAAAAAGAAAATAAATATAGAATTGTTTTGTGGTTTTTATCGGAATAGGAATTGTATGTGTTATGTTTAAGGATCTAGTTCGGTGGAAAATAGTCTTGACTTGCATCCCAATGGCCTTAGCTTTGAACTCTGTGACATTTTAATAGTGTAATGGTGAGAAACCTCATTTCCTTGTAATTTAGGCGCAAGGAGGCGCTCAAAAGAATTGTTATCTCATGATTATTCAATATTATTGCAGCATGTATTTCTTTCCTTTTGTTGGAGAGTCCTTATCCTCAAGCAAATAGGTTTCTTGGAAGACTGAAAAATGTTACATCTGAGTTTAGTTCCATACATATCCATACAAACTCTATAATACATGAATCCAACGGGAAATTGCTACACCAAATATATGAATGATATGAGTAAAAGATCTTTTATACCATATTAGATTCCCGGAATATATTAGTAAAAGAAATTTACATGAACTTTGGAATCAGCTGCCAAATATCATTTGCAATGGTCTGCAACCTCCATGGAAGATGTGCACGGCTATTTCTTTTGTTTGTTTTTGGTTTTTTTGGAGAAAAAAATAGTGACCATCTTGACACGTATTTGCTAAAATTCGGGTAATACTGGTAAGACAGAAACTCCAGCAACTTTTAATTGTTTATATTAATTGTTTCTCCAATCAATTTCAACAAATCCGCTGTAGCACAATACCTTGGATTGAGATTATCAAACCGGGTTCGAATCCCGGCAGCGGAATAATTCTTTTTTTTATTTTCTGCGGTTTCACCCCCTCTACTTTTTTTCTTTTTTTCACTTTTTTCTATATAATAAAATATATGCTTTATTAAAACACCATAAAATTATACAGCGTGAATGATGAAAACATCCAAAATCCAACATGATAGTTAGGAAGAAAAGCGGGATCCTAAACCCACCTCTTTTTTTTTTGTCTGAATCATGAGGTGGTCCTGGATGGGCCCCAACCATGGGTGGCACCTCTAAGCCTTAACCATAACCCAGACTAATCCCCACTCACACCGGGTCGGCCCGTAAGGGGTAAAGTGTTGGCTAAAGTGGTGACTCCTTATGAGAGCAGGGATCGAACCCCTGACCTCTCTTAAGGAATGAGAGTGAAACCCACCTTTTTCACTTGGGTGGGCGCTCACTAGAAACTTCTGGCTTCATAGATGAAAAAGCTGCATTATAAGTATAGATTTTAATAAGTCAGGAATTATAAACCACAAAAGAACTTCATTATAAATTGACCAAGAAAATTTAGAACATAAAGAATTCACATTCTTAAGATTATTGTTTAAATTCATGATAGATCGCGTAGTTATACATTACAAACTCAAATGAGTAATGCAAAACTAAATTTTCATAAAGAATAAGATAAAGAATTTGTGATGGATTGTTTTTCCTCCTTTGGCCATTATTACTTATTGTATGCCTCAAATTAGCAACATATATATGGAGTGCAAATATATGTACCCAAAAACACATAGTGCAAAAGCATGCAAATCCTCCTATTACCCAAAAACTATATATGTAAAATGAATGGTTGTGATTAAAATATTCGGCAAGTTTAGAAGAACATAGATCACACATATTATACGGATACTAGGACTCGAACCCAAAAACCTTTCTTCGGAGAACAATTACTCCAAATCACACACTATAAATAAATCAAATTTCTTTTAGACTCACAATTGCAGTACAAATAAAAGCAAACAGCATATAACCTTCAAAATAATTGGTATCTCATGAATCATGATTATTCAATATTATTGCAGCAGGCTATATTTATTTCCTTTTATCGACTCGTATTTGATGAAATTAGGGTAATATTGGCGAGACAGAAACTCCATAAATTTTTAATGATTTATATTAATGGTTTATTCAATCAACATCATCAAATCCGTTGTAGCCCAATACATTGGATTGAGTTTATCAAACCGGGTTCGAATCCCGGCAATGGAAATTTCTTTTTATTTTCCGCTGTTCCACTTCCACCCTCGATACTCTCTCTTTAGCCGCTAGAAAACTTCTCTGGCTTAAGGAGATGAAAAAGCTTCATTGTAACTATAGAATTTAATAACTGAAGAACTATAAACCCCAAAACAACTTCATCATAAATTAATAAATAAAATTTACAGGTATGCTTAAAATTCAAAATAGATCGTTGTGATAGATAAAAAGCCAAAAAAATTACAATATCCCGTAATTATACATTACAAACTCAAATAAACCGTGCAAAAACAAAACTTTCAAGCAAAAATAAGGCACGTAAAAAATTTCCATTAGCAACAAATTTGGGAGGGATTGTTTTTCCTCCTTTTGGTCATTGTTACTTATATGGTGCAGCCGCGCGGCTATACTCGGTTATTTTAATTTTTTTTTAGAAATAGTATAGCCGTATGGCTATACCCTTTTTTACCTATTTTTAAAAATAGTAAAGCCGCGCGGCTATACACTTGGTTTTTTTTTTTTTTTTTTTCTGATTTTGAAAAAATAGTATAGCCGCAAGGCAATGCTTGGTTTGTCCTTAATTTTTTTTTTTAAGCGCCTAATCGCTTGGCAGGTCTTGTTTACTGTGTTAGTGTAAATAACTTTAGGACAATGCCCATCGTTGCTCCTCCATCATCATTGCCCAAACACTACGTATTGATTTCTCTCCTTTTTAATTTTTAATTTTATTGAGTGATTTATTGAGGAGATTTGGAAATTTTGGGAATGGTGGAAGAAAGAGATGGAGAGATGAGAGAAGAGAGAGCACGGGAGGAGAGGAGAGGCGAGTGGGCGAGAAGAGAGAGAGAAAAAAAAAGAAAAAAAAACAGGTGTCATTTTGTAAGAGGCCACATCTTGTATTGAGGAGGAATGACTCCTGATATATCAAGAGCCAAGCATTGTATATAACTTTAAGTAGTATAGCCGTGCGGCTATACTCGGTTTTATTAATGTTTCTTAAATAGTATAACCGTGCGGCGATACTTATTCTACTCTTGGAATGTTTTAATAGTTTATATGAATTGTTTCTTCACTAAATATCAACACATCCGCTGTAGCCCAATAAATTGGATTGAGAATACAATCCGGGTTTGAATCCCGGCAGCGGAATACACTTTTATTTTTTTTCCCTCTTCAGCCACTAGAAAACTTCAGGGTGTTCACAAATCACATCCATACAAGAGATGTTGATCTGGCTTCATTAAGTGGAGGTTTATAAATTTGACAAATATTAGAACATAAAGATTATGATAAATTGTTGCTAAAAATTACAACGTCATGTCGGTTACACATTACAAACTCAAATGAACTGTGCAAATATAACCATAGTTGTTTGTTCTAGGTGGTTTGTATTTACCAAAAAATACATAGTGCAAAAGCAGGAAAACCCTCCTGATGAATTTCATTATACAACATGCATTTAGTAGCCACCCCCTCCCCCAAGCCCCAAACTCAATCATTAATTAAGGAAGAGAAGTCATCATCATCATCAAGAGATGAAGCAAAAGACATTTCTGAACATAAATAATTCACATTCCTAAGAATAATGTTCAAATTTAGGATAGATTATTGTTGCTATGGATACACAATGATGAAATTACAATATCGTGCACAATTACACATTACAAACTCAAATGAACCGTGCAAATATAAACTTTGGGACAAAAATTAATATAAAGACTGTAGTGAATTTCCAGGCGCTATTTTTTTCTTCCTCTTTTTTTTTTTTGTTTTTTGCCAAAATTTTCATCCTTCTTTTGCAATTGTTATTTATTGTGTGCCTCAAATCAGCAACATATATGTATATAATGCAAATGTATTTACCAATAAATAATATTTTTGTTTAGACACACAAATAAAAGCAAACAGCCCATAACCCTCAAAAGAATTGGTATTTGCATGAATATTATTGCAGCCGGCTATTTCTTTTGTTTGTTTTTGGTTTTGTTGGAGAAAAAAATAGTGACCATCTTGACACGTATTTGCTAAGATTCGGGTAATACTGGTAAGACAGACTCCAGCAACTTTTAATTGTTTATATTAATTGTTTCTCCAATCAATGTCAACAAATCCGCTGTAGCACAATACCTTGGATTGAGATTATCAAACCGGGTTCGAATCCCGGCAGCGGAATAATTCTTTTTTTTATTTTTAATTCATGATATATCGTGTAGTTATACATTACAAACTCAAATGAGTAATGCAAAAATTAATTTACATAAAAATAAGATAAAATTTTCCATTAGTAACAAATTTGTGATGGATTGTTTTTCCTCCTTTAAGTGTCCCCGTATATAATTGTTCAAGAAGTTCTGCAGTCACTATGCCATTTTGAGGGGCGTTTAAGGAGGCTTGTTCTACTGAGCTAGACCCCGTTAATTAGTTTGTGATGGATTGTTTTATTATTATTTTTTTTATAGTACAAACAATAGTCTAAAGGGGAGGGGGATTTCTCACACACACACACAACTATGATGTCGTGGTTCGAATATGAAACCTCTAGTTTGCAAGTCATTGCCCTTTTCAACTGAGTTAGACCCCGTTGACTTGTATAATAAACAATAGATATACATATGGTTTTCTACATTTGTTTATAAATGCAAACTAACATATATATTTCGCGTTGTGAAATTTTTGTTCAACTTGATGATTTTGAAATTTTACTCTTCATGCATTATACATCGTAACATCTAATGATAATTGAAACTTACTTGCCAAGTCTTGACAGCACATTCGGTCCCGCTTAAGAAGCTGGAAAACTCCATGTCTCAGGAACATTATCTTAGGACAAGTCGAAATCACAAATAATACATCCAAAAAT